TGGCAAGCCGGGGATTCAGCACAGCCAGGCCCATGACAACCACAGCTTCACCACGTGGGTTGCCCGGGTCACAGACTGGGGGAGTGCTTGGGGTACCCTTTTCCCTGCCCAAGCTCTGACAGGTCCTGGAACACTGGCCACCCACATTCTGGGGACTCAGGTGCACTTATCTCTCTGGTGCCTCAACTCACAACCCCAAAGCTGTCCCAGCAGTGCTCTGCCCTGACTGGCATCCTAACCCTCCCACTTGCTCTATAGTGCCAGGTGGGCAGCAGCTATGGCCTTTTCTCTCTTGATACACTTTATATTTTTGTTTTAGTGAACTAGTAAAAGCACAGTCCCTCTCTCCCACCCTCCCTGCCCCCCCATAGGATCTCATGTAGCCTAAGCTTTGTTATGTAGCCAAGGATAACCCTGAACTCCTGGTATGCCCACCTTTACCTTCCAAGTGCAACGCTAGAGCTTGAACTCGGCGCTTTGTGCATGCTGGGCGAGTACTCTTACCAACTGAACCATATCCTCAGCCCTGAGACATGCCTTTTCTAACTCTAGAATCTGGCTGCCTTGATGGTAGGTGGAGTAGAAAACACTCCTAGGGTTGCAGTTGGCATTGGTGTATCTGCCTTTGCACTCAGCCTCTGGACTCTGGACTCCTGAAGTTCAGGCTGGAGGTCTCGTATGGATGCCCTCTCTTAACTAGGGTTTCTCATTACTGTAGTAAAGCATGATCAGAAAGCAAGTTGGGAAGGAAAGGATTATTTTGGCTTATACTTTCACATCATAGTCCATCACTGAAGGAAGTCAGGACAGAAACTCAACCAGGGCAGGAACCTGGAGGTAGGAGCTAATGCATAGGCCATGGAGGAGAGCTGCTTACTGGCTTGCTCACTCTGGCTTGCTCAACCTGCTTTCTTACAGAACCCAGCCCAGGGATGGTACCACCCATGATCGGCTGGACCCTCCCACATCAATCACTAATTAAGAAAATGCCTTACAGCCAGATCTTATGGAAGAATTTTCTCAGGCTCCCTCCTCTCAGATAACTATAGCTTATGGTGGCACATGCTTTTATCCTAGCACTTGGGAGGCAGAGAAAGGCTGGTGGGTCTCTGAGTTTTGGCCAGCCTGGTATACAGAGTACAGAGAGTACCAGGACAGCTAGGACTACATAGAGAAACCGTGGATGGAAAAAAACAAACAAACAAACAAACAAAACACAACTAACCAGCACAGACACATTGTCTCTGGTGTCTCCACACTGCACACTGAATTGTGAATTCTCACCAGGGGTTTTCCAAGCAGGGCTATATGAGTTACTTTTCTATTACTATGATAAAAATACCATGATCAAAAGCAACTCCAGAAGAAAGTTTGACACCAGAGTCAGCTGGAATAAGAAGCCAAGAGATCACCTCTAAATTGCACATGGAAAGAAAGCAAAGAGCAGACCGGAAGTGGGGAGAGGCTGTAAACTGACAGAGCCTACCACCAGTTAAGTGAGATTTCCTTAGCATGGCAGCACCTCCAAATGTTCCATAACCTTCAAACAGCGCCACCTACCGGGCACTAAGTGTTCAAATACACAAGCCTATGGGGCACATTGCTCATCATCCAAACCACCAGAGCAGCAGCAGTTCTCAACCATTGGGTCACAACACCTCTGGGGGTTCAATGACCCTTTCACTGGGGTTACTTAGGACCATAAAAACACAGATATTTACAATTCCCAACACTAGCAAAATTGCAGATATAAAGTAGCAATGAAAATAATTTTGTGGTTGGAGGTCACCCAACATGAAAAACTGTTAAAGGGTTGCAGCATTAGGAACGTTAGGAACCACTACAACAGGTCACACACTGCCAGGGAGAAACCTGCGGTCCCTGTGCTGAGGTTGAGTCCCCTAGGTTCCTCTATCATCAGGGCATGAGGGGATTCTGAATCCAAAGTGATCCCCCTGGATCTACGGTGATTTGGGGGGGGGGGGTCACCAGAAGAATGATTTTGCTTATTGTCTTGAGATTCCAGTGTGTCATGCAGAAGGAGCCACAATGAGGTCTTTAATTCTCCTTTCTGTGTTAATTTCGTTGCTATAGTTTCATAGTGAAGTCATGTTCTTTTTGAGGAAAAAAAAAAGAATCAGTTTTTTTTGAGTCCAGGCCTCATAAAACCCAAGCTACTCTCAAACTCACTGTGGCTGATCACAAATTTGAACTCTGGATTCATCTGCTTTTACCTCCCAAGTGCAAGGATTATAGGCATTAGCACCACACCCAGCAAGAAAATTCCATGAATACAGAAACTTCCAGGAGAGCCATCCCCTACCCTTCTCTTCCCTTCCCTTTTTGGCTCCCATGGCTTACTTGGCTGCAGGAGCCCTGCCTCACTGCATTCTTGGTCAGCTGGTGCTGCTCACTGTCCCACCAGCTCACCCCTTGGCTTCCCTATGGAGTCATGGCTTCACACCTCAGCTGCCTTGTTTGTCCTGCAGGAATCTAGGGCTTGTATCTTCCGCTGTGTTTTGAGACAGGGTTTCTCTGTAGCTTTGGAGGCTGTCCTGGAACTCACTCTGTAGACCAGGCTGGCCTTAAACTCGGAGGTCTACCTGCCTCTGCCTTCTCAGTGCTGGGAGCAAAGGCGTGCACCGCCATGTAGCATATCTTACACTGTTTAGATGACCCAAGTCTAGGTCTGTAACTCTGCCCTGGGCTCATCTGAGAGCTCTAGAATACTGGCTGTGATTATTGTTATTGTCTCTATCCTTGTATAGGAGAGAAAACTGATTGTTGTTATTGCATCTGTCCTTGTGTTGGAGAGGAAACTGAGGCATGGAGATGGCCACCTGTATGGTTCCATGTCCCATATGGTGTATCCAGCCTGAGGGTTGCAAAGGAAGTATCCATCTACCTGTCTCATCATATAACGTCTGAAACTGGCTGTGCCTTCAGGCTTTCCACTAGAATTCCCCTGATTGGTTATCTTTCTGAGGCAGCATCTTTGGGGTAATCCTAGGAGTGAATGATTTAGGTCAGGTAGCCTAAATGGTTTGATTCTTTGTCCCTCACAAGTTAGTTCAGCCAATTCTTATGAGGAATGTGGTTTGGTTGAGACTGTTTGGGATAAGGCATTTACTTTTGTATAGTCAGGTTGCCTAAGGTGGCTTCCAGATTCCTCTGTTGTCCTTACCTCTGCATTATAGTTGAAAAAGACCCCCTGGATCCTGAATTAGGCACAAGCCACACCCAAACACCTGTTTTCCCAGAGAGATCCTTTATTAAGTGGGGAAGAAAAATTAGAGGCTGCTTTCTGACTCAGACAGAAAACAGCAGCAAATAACTTTGCAGGTGTCATTTTTAGGTTGAGGAAAAGGGGGGGGGTCTGTGCTAGAATGGACTAGGATGCTGTAGTAAAGGAGATAGTGGACGAAGGGGATGGGTATTTGTCCCAGAGGGACAAAGGACTGCCTCTGAATAGAGGGGAGACAGACATGGCACACAGGCAAATGGTGGTTCATAAAGGTAAAGGGGGAAAACCCTGTGTTAGAATGAAGTGTTTGATTTTAATTAGGCATGTTAATTAGTTGAACCAAAGGGAGCTTTTTGATTGCTAGATTTGATAGTCAGCCTCAGGAGAAGAAAGTGGCCAAATAAAGGAATAGACCTTGGTGGATAGCTTTAGGATTGTAATCTAGTGGTTTTCAGCAAGGTGGCGGGAATGTGGAGAAGAGCAAGGCCTACCAGAGCCATGGACATCACACTCAAGCTGGCCAGAGTCCCTTCAATAGTGCTATGACCAGATCCTGTGAGATGGGAGAATGGAGATGCTGTTTCTCAGGGAAACCTGGTATCCTGGACCAGACACCAGCCCTTTCATTGACTGAACCAGGAGGCCCAGGAACTCCTGGGGCCACATGTCTTTATGGATACCAGCTATTAGACCTTGGAGATGTTACTGTTAACATATAAGGGTGGTCACAGAGCTGTGTAGGGAATGTTTGTCTCCCTGTTGTATGCATCTTCCTGAGAAGATGCAACACACATGTCTATTCAAACCAGATAGGGATCTAGCAACAAACCAAAGTACAGGCACCACCAAAATCCAATTTGGTGGACCAGTAGTTTTATTGGGGTTACTTACAGGAGCAGAAATGACTCAAAGACAGCTGTACCACCAAGGCCCACATGGGTGACAGCTCACAAAAGCTGGGAACCTGGAGCACACTGCACAGCCTGCAGGGAGTTGAAGAGGTTGAAGAGTGTCCTTTCTGAGTGACTCTAGTCTAATCCTCTTCTAGGCAGCTCAGCTGGTTTGTTGCTTCTTCAGGCAGTTGGTCTGGTCTCAATCTTCTTTGTAGATTTTCTTTCTGAGAGTCTCTGCAGCTCACCCACCTTCTATCTGAGGGGGATTCTGGGCTCTTATTGTTTGCTCTGGCAGGGAGTGGCCCAGTGGAGCTTGTCAGTTTTAGGGACTTCCTGAGGCTCTTTGAGTTGTTTTACCTTCCGGCTTAAGGATTTCCCTGCTGGTTAGAATGCTTCACTCACAGAGGAAACTGTTACACAACACTGTCCCTGGGTGTTGCTTTGGGTGACGTGAATGTTCTACCTGGAGGCAACCACCATGAAACAGAGGATGCTGACTTGGGGGTCACTCCCAAGAGTCAGCTCTAGTGATGCTAAGGTGGGCGGGGCCTTCCTGGAGCTCTCAACCCAGTAGTGGGGGCTCAGAAAGGGCTGTCTGCTAGCATGGTGGAGGCTCATAGGCCTGGGGCCATCGGCACCTCAGGCAAAGCCCATGTTACATGGGTATTGAGCCTGCCCTCTGATTTTGCTGTTGGGGCATGCACTCTAGCCCGCATTGCTGATGTGTGTAGTGCTGTCCTAAATTCTTCCAGATACTTGGCGCCTTCCTAAGTGGGGGTACTGAAATTTCCCCCTTTATAATAAGGTTTTAAAACTCGCCAGGCGGGGGTGGCACACACCTTTAATCCCAGCACTTGGGAGGCAGAGGCAGGTGGATCTCTGTGAGTTCTAGACCAGCTTAGTCTACAGAGTGAGTTCCAGGACAGTCTCAAAAGCTACACAGAGAAACCCTGTCTTGGGGAAAAAAAAAAAAACAAAATAACCTATACTAGCTGGGCATGATGGCACACACCCTTAATCCTCACACTCCTTAGCAAAAGGATGTCTGTGAGTTTGAAGCCAGCCAGGGCTATGTGATGCGTCCCTGTCTCTAAACAAAACACCAAGGGTGGCAGGGGGAAGAAACGTGCTGGGGATTGGGAATATAATAACTCATTGGGCAGAGGGCTGGCCTAGCATACATGAAGCCCTGGGTTTGGTTCCCAATACTGTGTAAACTAGGTTTGTTGTCACATGCCTGTAATCCTGGCACTTACGAGTTATTTCATCCACTTATTCACAAAGCCACTGGGCCATTGCTTAATTTCTGCTACCTGTAGTTTTCCTGGTAGGGAGATGTGGGCGGGAGCATCTATCTGGAAATGTTTCTAGGTGATTGTGGAAGTAACCCGCTCAGGGAGGGCAGAAGGAAACAGCACCCTAGGAAAGGGTCACATGTCAGAAGAAGGGGCAGCTAGGTACCCTGAAGAGAGCAGAGGCCTAAAGTGTAGAAGCTGGAGATGGGAATGGGGCCACCAGGTGTGCAGGGCCAGCTCTAATTAGCCTAGAGAATTGGCTTGTGTTTGGGGAATGAGGAGGATTGAAGGTATAGAAGTTAGGTGGCCCAGCTCCAGGCCCCAAAGGGGACAAGCCTAGACATCCTTTTCCTGCCTGGGTCACCCCCGTGTCCTGGCCAGGCAACAGAGCTCCTGTGGTTCTCCATACTCTAATGCAGCCCCAGGAAATCCTTTTCTTGGGTATCTGGGCATGAGAGAACTGAGGTCCAGGAAGAAGTTGCTCCTGTTGCAGGGCTTGGGTGGGGGGGTCACTTCTAGTAGAAGAGATAGCCCCTTGGGCAGTGGTCTAGACTGAATCTGTTAAGTTCCTGGATGAGTCCAAAAACAAAACAAAAGCACATTCCTTTCTTCCCACAGAGACCTCAGCGACAGCAGAGAGCAGTCTGGTGTAGCCCACAGTGTGGACAAAGACCCCTGGACTTTCCGGATGGGAACTCCGAGTCCTGGTGGCCCTTCCAGCTCTCCATGCACTTACGTGATGGTCCACGCAATGAACTCTGCAGGGCCGGCCCCTGGAATGCCCATGAGGCCCAGAGTATACCTCCCAGGGTGACCCCATCAGAGGCCTGCAACTCAACACTTGCCCAGCTGGAGATGGGCCAGGCAGTCAGCTCCATGTAGGAGAGCCCTTGGGGGCCTTTAGCTGACATTAAAGGCTGGGTCCCCAGCAGGGCACTGTCTGTCCTGGAGGGAAGACCTTTGGCTGTTACAGGACCTGCTCATTGAACTGCTATGGGGATGAGGTCCCAAAGAAGCTGCTCCATGACCAGGGTTCTTTTAAAGAGACTGAGAAATTTTAAGCAGATAATAGTTTTGCATAGTAGAACATGAAAATGTCAATAAAGTACTTTAAAGAATACAGGTAGCCACCTCAATATGGCCCAGAAGCAGGGACCCCAGGATTTTCTCATCTGTAAATCACAGGTGAGAGATATAAATGTGTTTTCTTTGCATAAAGACACAAAGGGGGTGGAGGTACTGCTCAGTTAGCAGGATGCTTACCTAGCATACAGAACAAGACTTCAACCCCCAGCCCCACCATGTGAACCAGGCAGGGTGGAAGGAGAGGACATGAATTCCAAGGTCATCCTCAACCACATACTAAGTTCAAGGCCAGCCTGGTCTACAGAGCAAGTTCCAGGATAGGCTCCAAAGCAACAGAGAAACCCTGTCTTGAAAAACCTAAATAAGTAAATTATAAACAAACTCACTTTAAGGTAGAAACCACTCCCAACATACTCTCAAATCCAGTTGTCATAAGTCTGTCCTGTATTTTCAATCCCTGGAGCTCTGAGCTAGTTGGAGGATTTATACTAGAGTCTTCTAATACTATTGAGCTGCTGGGTACTCACGGGTCTGAGTTTGCTGCTGGCAGTTGGGGCTTCTGGAGTCTTTAGTGGGAACATTCTCCGTTTCACAGCCTCCCACCCCCACCCCCCAGTTTCCTTATAGCCTGGAGGCTGGTTTCCAAGGTGAGGTGTAGTGTGAGCTCCAGGTGCCTTTCGGCCTTCTGCCTTGAAAGTCACTTTTCTGGTTTCAGTGGGCACTTATACTCATGTATACATATACATAATTTAAAAAATTACATACACTTGTATCCTCTCACAATTTGGGATTTGGCCTGTCTCTAGCCATTGAGAACAGCCAACTGTGTCCTGTGTCCTTCCTGGAGGAACAAAGACATGTAAGAACCTGAAGAAGGCAAGAGGAAGGTTGAGCACCTGTCCTTGGACCTAGTTGTCCCTTATCTGCCGAAACCATGGTTATATTTTCTCATAAACAATAACCATATACCTGATAGAAGTCACACTGTCCCTCTGATGAATGCCCTGTGATTTACATTATATATAAAATATATGAGAAATACTATATATGTACACACACACAATGTAAATTACATATCAGCTAAAAAGGCACTGAGTGTTTTACATTCTCAGGTGTCACGTTTTTGGACATCTTTGTCCTGATGCCCTCATGCTCTGGAGATTTCCAGGGTCAGAATTCAAGCCAGTGGCATGTAGGCAGGCAGGCTCAAAGTACTCTCCCAGATTTGTTGGTTGTGGAGAGCAGTGTTCTGAGGGTCTAATGGCCTCAGCTTCAGGTCAGGTCTGCTTTGCTACAGTGGATCTCGATATTGGTCAGAAACAGCTCAGCTTTTCCCAGAACTCCAATCCACGAACCCAGGTTTTGATGGACAGCAAAGGGCCCTGGATTTCACTAAGTTCTAGTCCCTGTCTCCTGGTAGTAATTAAGATGGCAGAGGTTGGACACCCCTGCAATTTGGTGCATAAAATTTTTTTAAGATTTAGGTTTTTTTTTAAATGTATATGAGTGCTTTGTCTATATGTATGTGAATGTACCATATGTGTGCCTGGTGCCCACAGAAACCAGAAAAGGGCATTGGATCCCCCTGGAGTGGAATTTACAGTTGTGAACTATGTGGGCACCGGGAACCGAACCCAGGTTCTCTGCAAGAGCAGCAAGTGCTTTAACTGCTGAGCTATACCTCTGGTCTCAGCCTCTTTTTACTTGTGAATTGAAGACATGGTTTTGTGTTTGAGACAGGGTTTCTCTGTGTAATCGCTCTAGCTGTCCTGGAACTAACTCTGTAGACCAGGCTGGGCTCCAACTCAACAGAAATCCACCTGCCTCTGCCTCCCAAATGCTGGGATTAAAGGTGGGCATTACTCCACCCAGCCGAGTTGAAGGCATTGTTACTCTGTGTGGTTGACTAGTCTTGCATTCAAATCCTTCTGCTTCTGTTTTCCCAAATAGCTGGAATGATAGTCACAAGTCACCAGAGACCCTACAGTTTGGTTTTTAGTTTGTTTTTGAGAAGGGGGTCTTACTGCCTTCTCCAGGCTGGCCTTCAGTTTGTGTGCTCAAGAGACCATCCTGCTTCAGTCTACAAAGCAGCTGGTACCACCCTCACTGTGTGCCAACACAGCTAGCCCAGTTTCCCCCACTTTCCTTTTTTTTTTTTTTTTTTTTTTTTTTTTGGAGACTGGGTTTCCAAGTGCTACAATTACAGGCACACACTGTCACATCTGGTTTGTGTAGCTAGGGATCAAAACCAGGCTCTTACTAGGCAGACACTAATGATCCATATCCTCGGCTCTCTGCTTCTCTCTTAAGGCTGAAAAATGCTCCATCATTTGGGTGAGCCACTTTTCATCCATTGGTTCCCCGTGAATGGCCTCAGCCTCTCTGTTACTGTATGTGCTGCTGCTGCTGTGGACACCGGTGTGCCCATCTTTTTCAAGACTCGGCTTTCAGTTCTTTTGTTTATTCAGAGAGTTGATAAACCAGACCAGATTACCAGACCAGATTACCATAAGCCTACCCTCACCCCAAGACCATGTCCCTCAAACTTTGAATTCACAATTGCCTGGCCTGCACACCCCTGCGTGGTCCCCTCACTCCGCTCCAGCTACACTGGCTGTGCCATGAATGCAGAAATGGCACTTTCGGGTCCTGCAGGTGCTGTAGTACACCCCCCCCCCCCCCGTTGTCCTATAGCATCCTTGCTTCAGCCAGCTCTGCTCTGATGTAGCCCTGGGGGAGAGCACTTGTGAGTCTACTCCAGGCCCCGTGTTTGTGTGCATGCATGCACAAGACAGGAATCATTTATCTCTGCTGGTTTGTGGGTGTGCAAACTGACAACAGGACCGCTCCATGTTGTGGTTAAAGGGAAGGTTTTTATTGTAGATTTGAGGGAGAACAGCCAAAGGCATCTAGAAGAGTCTAAAGCAGAGAGAGAAGTCGAATGAACAATGCCAGTAGATTGGGCCTGGCCAGGGCTGTCTGTAAGAGGAGAAAATATGGGAGAGAGAATAGAGAAAATGTAAGAGGGAGCAGAGGAGTGTGAGAGGGAGACAGTGTGCACACAGAGACAATAGCAGGGTTATAAGGCCTAGGTATGCTTTCAGCTCCAGGGGAAGGACTTCTAAGTCTATATTTAGAAAACAACCAAAGGAAATTTAAAAATTTGAGCCTGTGCTTATGATAATAGTAGCCAGAGCTTTACAAAGGTTAGATTAATAACTTTTCAGAACTATGTTGAACTCTGAACTTTTGGAGTCTTAATAGCATGTATCATCTTTTTGTTTGTTTTTCGAGACAGGGTTTCCCTGTGTAGCCTTGACTGTGCTATTGTACCAGACTGGTCACAAACTCACAGAGATCTGCCTGCCTCTGCCTCCCAAGTGCTGGGGGCATGTATCATCTTTAAGTCCCCCCCCCACACACACACCTTTAATCACTTCCTTAGGCTCTCACATAAACTTTAAACCTTTTCTTCCATTCAGTCATTGGCCACAAAGACATAGGTAGGTGGTTAATTGAGAGCTCTCATTGGAAAACTAGTTCCTTTAAATAAAGGAATAGCAAAAACAATTTTTTTAGTAATAGCATAATGGCTTGAATTTGTCTTTACAAGGAAACCCATTTTGTGCTTTTCTTTTCTAGCTCGAAGTCTGTCAGCAAGGTAACCCTGTTAGTGAGTCCGCCTTTCTCAGAAGGAAACCTAGTAGTAGCTCTAGAAAAAGTAAGGCCTAAATTTTACATATGAAATGGACAAGGCAACTGCAGCCTCTGAGGAGAAGCTGTCTGGCTAAGACCTGCTTGCTGCTGTTAAACTGACAAAGCTACAGCTCACACCATCAGCACCATCTCAGAGATGTGAGGAGGATAAATTTGAGCAGGAAGTAGGATCCAAATGGCCTCTGTGTCTTTAAAATGACAGAGACTTGCCCTCTACCTGGACAGCCAGCCTGGGATCCTCCATTGTGATCTTGATGGCCTTGGGGGCCTTGGGCTGTCATGGCTGTCATGAGGGCAGCATTAAGCCTTCTGCTTACACACACAGCAGCATCAGCCTTCAGCCACCAGACCAGGTCTGAGAGATTTTTCTCTGGAGGAGGAACTTAGAAAAACTGAGAGTAGGGCAGTTAACCAAACGTGTCCACAGTTTGGGCAGAGCCCTTGCAGCAGATGAGGCACAAGACGGTTCTTTGCCCAGTGGTCAGCATTACCACAATTGAAGTAAACTCCAGGTAGAGTCCATTACTTCCCATATTCTTTGAAGATAGACTCAGCTGCTGCCGCCAGAAGGTGGTATGTTTGTCTCTCAGGGGAAGCCGCCTTCAGGGAACACTTTAAATGCCATATTCATCATATCTCTCTGAGGGGTTTGAGGGACATCATCTAATCTATTAAGCACACCTGCTTTTAAACAAATTTTTGTTTTCAGTTACCTTCTTCGGGCTTAACCCTGACAGCATATAAAGAAGGCAAAAGTTTGTCCCTGTAAATGAATTACAGTTGTACTTCAGGACTACAAGCATAGTTCTGAACAAAGTTAAAGAACGTAATCATTTATAAGGAGACTGACCATTAACTTGCATGCTAACAATTTACAGCAAGTTGTTAGTTTTTATAAGATTAGGATTTTATAGTTTTATCCCTGTTGGAACTTTAAAAATTTGAGTTGAAGATCCTTTACCATCAAGATAAAGCTTTAAACCATAAATGCAGTCTACGGAGAGACTGGGAACCTTAACTTTCCCGATCCTTTCCTGATGTACCATTACTGAATATCAGTTTCTTGTATGACTCAGTTTACCCAAGTGGCTTAGCTTAACAAAGTTAGCAAAGACAAAGAGGCTATGCATACATCTTCAAGATAATTTCTGCTAGCCTGAATAGACCTTAGGAATTTATAAACCTTATTTATCAAACATATCTTATTCATCAAACATACATTGTTCCTTATCTAAAATTTTCTAGAAGCCTGGTGTT